CAGCTCTTAAATATATTCAAAGACACACTAACCATAAACAATACATAATCTTTTCCGATTCTTTTTCGTGCCTTCGGGCTATTAAAGTCTTTCTTGTAAACATCCACTTTTAATAGAAATTATTGAATTGTATAATGATCTTGCTACTGGCCAATGCGACATCGTCCTCTGTTGGTTACCTAGTCATGTTGGAATCTCTGGTAACACAATGGCTGATTGTGCTGTTAAGGCAGCACTCAACAAATCTGTGACACCACTTCTCATTCCATACTCCGATTACAAAGCAACCATTAGATCGTACATACGTGATCTGATGCAAAAGAAGAAGTGGGACACTCAAGTAGGTATTAATAAATTACATGCTATAAAACCCTATATTGGTTACACCTACTTGGGTTGTCAGTCCAGATTTGAGGAGGTCATCATGCGACGATGTCGCATTGGCCACACAAGATATACACATTAATATTTGCTTAAAGGTGAGGATCCTCCGTTTTGTATCCCTTGGTGATGAAAGAATCACGGTCAAGCATGCCCTGCTTGACTGTCTTTATTTTTGCCATCACAAGGGATAAATATTTCAATGTTAAAAGAGTGAAGGATCTTTTTAATGTAAATTTTCATTTAATCATTGAATTTTTAAAGAAATGGAATTGCTAGATCAATTTTGTTTTTAAATGGTTTGTAAATAGATAAGTATTTTATTGTTGGTAGGTTGGATTAGTAACTGGGATTGTTAGTGGCTGTACCCTCAAAGGCGGTTGAAGTATTGTAAAATTACTGTCCTCCGCGGAGGGTACGTAAGTCTCAAAACTTTCAAAGTCAATTTAAACTTACCAGGATTTTTAAACGCAGTATTCTTGTTATTTTAATTTTGGCTAACATCTCTTACAATCGCCGGCAGCTGAAGGGATGGTGTAAATCCAACTAGGGTCCATGCAGGAAGCAAAGGTACTGTAAGTCCCTATGGTCCCTGGTATGGTGATCTACCTTCAGTTGTTGGCGATATATAGCCTGTTTTCATATTGTATTGTCCAAATAGTACTATTAGGTTTAACTTTCCACGCTAGTTGTAATTCTAATTGTGATATTCTAGTTGTTTTACTGTACTGTGACGACAGGTTTATATAATATCCACATGTTCCATTTCAATGTCAAATATGTTCTCGTCACGATATGGCTGAAATATTGCCGATTTGACGTTAAATATTTACTCACTCACTCACTCACTCAGCACAATAGCTTGCAAGGTATTCCATGTATTCTTGTATATTCTGATGTATATAAGTCAATATTTGTTCATATACATTATGCCATATGTATTCATATAAGGCATACTTACTTTTATGCACCAGTTCATAGATCATGCAATAGCTTGCAAGTTATTCTGTATATTCTCATTACATATTTTCTGATGTCAATTATTCAGTTATGTATTATAGCTTAGGCATTTGATATTTGTTCATATACACTATGTCAACATATTCATATAAAGCATACTTACATTATGAATCAGTTCATAAATCATACAATAGCTTTCAAGGTTTCTGTATACGTGTAGTTAAGAGGTCTAAACATAGATAATATAGTGAAGCGAACAGAGAATTAGCTTTAACAGATCTCATGATGACAAAACAGTTTTTGTTGTTGTTTTTGTCTGTGCAGAGATATCAGAGGAGTTACACAATGTTATGATCTTTAGCGTATTTAGCTGATTATTGGATATAAAATATGAACAATAAACTTATGGCATTTGATATCACCTACTTTTAAATACGATCTTTTACTTCATTGCTCCTCCTTCTTCTGAAACAACTATTTCTTTTCATACTGCCACTTTTATGAACGGAAGCATCTGGCATGATGAAATTCTCACTTAACTACACGTGCTGGCTACCTGTGTATATAACAATGTATTTTGATTGCAGTTTTAGGTTGTCGTTGGATATAACCAAAGTTTAAATTTGGACAGGGTGTGAATGAACCCTTGATGAATGTGACCAGGGCGCTTTTCGTTGTTATCTCACTTGCTGTCATTCATATTGTTCGGGTAAAGCATAGTTTATGGCGAAAGCTCGCTGATAAGGATTTCAACTACCACGAATATTACTTGACCCTGAAATCAAATAAACTGATAAACATATAATCCCGTACGCCAGCTCTGCATACACACACGCCAACCTTAATGCTGGAACATTGCCTGGAGCGGTGATAAACAGACATAACCAACAATATCGACCGCGATAATGATACAAACTGAACACTGTTTAATCGTTAAATCAATACGAAAGCAACATCGAACATTTACATTTGATAATTGGAATTATCTGGCATACAGACTTGTACACACAAAAACATCAGCCAGCACCAGGGTAGCTTTTGGCAAAAGAGAAAGTCAGACCTCAGATTATAGAATGAAGAACCCTAAACATGTGGCTAAACATTGTTTAGCAGACCTAGAATTTGAATTTCTGTTTCTGGGAGAAACTATATATTTATATTTGAAATGTTTCAAAATCTTTAGAGAGTCAATTTGGTTCATTTTCAGCCAAAATAAGCATCAACGCACTTTAAAGTAACAGAATTTGAGACTAGTCTTAAAGCAATCAACTGAGACACATATATGTTTGAATACAATTCGAAATCCATGGAAACAAGGCCCACACCCCCAACAGACAACACAGTATCTGTAAATTGTTACGGTTAATAATTTGCCGTGACAAAAGGTTTAAACGTCCCCTTTGAACCAGCAAAATAGAACACAGACAAGTCTAAAATATTCAATAATACATTGAGCAAACAATGAGCAAACTACAATGAATGACAATACACATTTCTAGTACAATGCAATTGAGTCACAAATCTAAAATATTGGGTCACAAATATTAGATATTAACTCACCAGAGTCTTGACATTTACAGTGAGAGCAGATATACTGATTGAAGGTTGTTTACAACGACAGTAGACGAATAGGCAAGAACGATCAGTCTTGACGATGTTGACGATGGAAGACAGATATACATAAATCCTGTCATATACTAGTAAAATGTCCCGAGTCGCACAACACAAAAACCGGCCTTTATATTGCTCTTACACAGTTCTGGAGCATTCTAGCAATGCTAGGCTCCATCATTATTCTCTCAGAAGGTTTTGGAATCATGTGGAACACACGGCATGATGAAAGCCGTAAATAAACAAGATTGCCAAGGGAGGCAACTCTGAAGCGCTATCCAAAAGGCGTAATGCTAAAAATACTATTGCCATTGAACATATATGATGCGAGATGCGAGCCAAAACCCACACTCAAAACTTTAAACATTGTGACCCATAATAATTATCACTTAACAAATTACAAAACACACTCTCATAACAAAATACATGAGCTACAATGATCATGCTAACGTCTACATAACGTAATACTGAGTACACTAATTAATAATATGCATGTAACAAGAAACTGATTCCTTTTCATTGTGGTATTTATTCCATATGAAACAGGCGTAACATAACTAAAATAGGTCACCCGCGTTTAACGTCACATCACTTAAATTTAGTTCATTAAGACGTGAAGTTCATCTCTTAATAACAGCATCCATTATATTAAGCAGCAGTAGCTAAAATAGTGCTCAAAACATATGCGTGGTTTCTTAATTCCAAGCTGCATTACATTACATTTCATACGTTTACCTATAAGGTAGCAATTCCAATATTTCAGATGTGCATACTGCACCAGATACTTCTACAGACTGACATACATGTACTCGTATGCCATTCCTGACGCAAAGACTCAGGCACGTTTTGCTTAAAATAAGTTCATAAGCATAACTTTTTCCAATCTGCTGAATAGAAAGCCCATGGGAAAACAGATGTACAAAAAATGAAAATGGGTATTTATCACCCGATATATCTTTTTATACAGCACTCAAAAACGAAATAATAAACATGTTCTATATTGTTGATAAATGAAATATTTGTAAGTTAACGCATGTCATAATGTCATAAATTCATTTAATTATATTGTCAATAACTGAAACACCATTTCAGTTATTTTCTGTTATTGATGACGGTCCGGCTTATTCAAGAATACTTGCTTCAGTCAATGGCCGAGGCCTTGGAGACATTATTCCCAGTTGTAAGGGTACAGTCCCTTATGTTCCACGTTGCTGATGGGATTGTATTGGGGCCATACAAATGTAGGAACCTGTACTGAATTTCCACATCCCAGTGTATTATGATATTAGTGTCATCACTGTGAACGCACAATTCCCTATATAACGTTTGAGCTGGAGGTTGATGTGGAGTATTGTAATTCTAGTAATGACTACGTCTGTAAGACTCTACAAACATATATTTCGAAACTGAAGTGGTTCAATGAGAATTTCGTCTGATTAGTTGTATAAATCGTCTCAAGTTGTCTGTTTCTAGCAAAGAATCGTGCAAGTAATTATTTTGCAAGTAAAATGGGTGGCACAGTGATAACATTTTAATATTCATATCGACTCAGACGTCTGTAGAAAACAATTCAACACTAAGTAGAATAGGTCATTTTACAGTGTGGGAATTGTCCGCTGATTACACATATGGAGTTCACAAACACGAATCTGAGGTTTGTGTGACACGGTATCTACGTCAGTGTGACCAAAACACATTTATAACATATACATGTATGAGACAGGATGGATTCTTGTGACACCCCTGCTCTTAATTATGTGTCCGTAACATGTGTAGGGGTATTTGACCTATCAGTGACAAAACAAGTATGTCCGATGTTTTGTTCCCGTTTAACAACTGGCTTGCCTTGCATGTATTTGTGATTGTTGCCACTGTTGGACCAGTAAACGTTAAAAGCGGTAACCGTGTTCGCTCAAGAACACATGGTTAATGTGATATGGTCGGAATCGGAGAATAGACTCTGCTTTTAGTTGGGATTCTCATAATTATGGAAACGTTGTAGTTTTAGATGCGCAATATGAAAGTAATAGTGTGCTTAAATCCTTAAATCAAAATGAATTTTGCGTTTCATAAATGCTTCTGTCCGAGGAGCTTCTGTTGGTGGAGATAACGTTGGTGTCGTCCAATATCTCAACAATTTTGTTGTCTGAGTTCTTTCGGGTAACAAAGGGATACTTGTCTCTTAAGAACTGGCAGGGGAGTTTCACTACACATTTCACTGGTACAGGTATCTCTAATCTGTGATCATATGAATTCGAAACACACAGATCGATAGTGTAAGTCGACTCCAAAACCTTACGGGTGTGTCTCGGCGCTGGCAGCATCATTCCCATGAAAGGCCGCTTGATCAAAGGAAACACGTCACTCTTGTTGAACTTCTTTTGGGTTGCTTTACAATCTTGAATGAATGAAGACTTTTCTAAATAAAAGAATATATCGAGGAATGGCCACTTCCAAGTTTTCGAGCCAGCCTTTGGGGACTTTTTGTGATACAACTTCCAGTTCACATTCCACTTGGTGTAGTGGTCATATTTTGGCCTGAGGGACTGCAGGAATGTGAGCAGTAAAGGCTTGTCTTTCTCCCTCACTATAATGTCCAGATCGTCGTCCCAAGGAATCATGCCGTGATGAGAGTAGGAACCAAGTAAAGCTCCTGCATAGAGGAAATAAGTGATGTTTGTAGGCACGCCTTCACTGAAGGTTTTCATGAGGTCTCTATATTTTACCTTTTCTTTCTGTGTTAACCTGTCATAAAACAGAGCCTTTTTAGCTCTCGTCTCTGGTGATTCTTTGCTGATATTAGCATGTGTTGGGACAGTTCCTGAAAGCTTTCTGCCGTAGAAACAGTCAAAGCTTTTGGTTTTGCTTTTGCTCCTTCCTGTGATATTTCTAGCTATAAACTTTATAAGTTCGTTTGCAATACCTTGAACAATGTCTGAGGTCAGGTCAGCTCTCGTCTTACCCATCTTGGAATGAGAATACAGAAAGTAGATATTGCAGCAGAAAAGGAAGAATAGGCACACTAATGTTATCCTCACGGGTGTTAGTTTCATCATTTTATTCTTCTGAATACTGACTGCAAAGCAAAATTAGACATACATTGTTACTTAAGTTTTATTTTGGGTGTATGTTATGTAACATAGGGTAGAAATTAGTTTGCAGTTATGAAAACAGTTACACCGCGAGAGAGAGAGGGGGGGGGAGGACGGGGAAGACGAGGGAGGGCGTGCACGTGAGATGGTATTGAGCGATCGATCCTTGGAAAAATGTCCAGAGACAAGCGAAAATGAAAAACAGGACAAGCCATGTAGGGGATGGGCGTTCGTGTGTGCGTGTGCGTGCGTGTGCGTGTGCGTGTGCGTGTGCGTGTGCGTGTGCGTGAATATGTTTATGGAGGAGAGTTGTCTTGGCGAATTCATGGTAGACCATATCATTATTTATATAACATATTTTCCTTTAGGAATGAACCGTAATGGGTTTTCGTTACAAATTTTATAGGAGCCAAGCATCATTGCTGGTTTCAGTTGACAGGTAAAGCATATTTCGAATTTTAGTTATTATAATTATCTCTTCACCACCCGTATGACCATGATATGCAACACAATACAGCCCTGATCTTTCATCGTGCAGTGTCGTACTCCGGACCATTTCAAAGGACAGTGTGTACGTCATATCCAATACAAGAACAGAGACGGCAGGGGCGGCGGGGTAGCCTAGTGGTTAAAGCGTTCGCTCGTCACGCCGAAGATATGAACCATTTACCCTTTCAAAACATTTATTTTAGCCAGTTCTAGGTTTTGGAAACATCGCCGCCGTGCTTTTACCGTCAGTGTAAGCTGCAATTCGTTTTCCTTCAATGGTTTAAATGGAAAATTGTAAAGGGCACTTGTTTCATGGCAGACAAAGTAAAGATTAATGTTGAATCGAACACACTCGTTATTGGCTCAGCGTTAAGAAGAACGTGCTTACCTTCTGGTGACGATATGACGTCTTGGAGATTGTGGAGAATTGGTATTTCAAACACGGCGCATGTACATGCTTGTTATCAGATAACATAATGCACTGACCTGGTTTGGAAATTTGAGACTCTGGCGACGCTTTTCTATTATCATTTTGCATGTAGGTCATCCTTAGACCACTTTGGATTTCAAGTAATTATTTTCGAAATTATCCTCATGCAAATAACTATTCAGAAACATCTTCTATAATATTGTAACGTAAACATATTGTTAGCATCGGTACGACGACGTTATTGAACATATTTGTACAAAGATAACAGGTTGAACCCACTCACCTTTAATATAATCACTCCGAGCCGTCCAGTCCTTGTTTTATTCCCTGAATTCCGGGCGGGGTAACAACAAGTACCAAGTTTAAACGTCTTCGGTATGGATCCACCCACAGACCTTCTTTACTCTAGACAAAATTTATGTTGAGAGCGAGAGTGGAAGTTTGGAGAATTGACCACAAAATGGTAGATCGCAAACGCATCAGCTTTCAAAAGGTTTAACAGAAAAAACGAGTTTCGTGTTTCCGATGAAAACTGAGATCGACATTTGTTGGATTCTGGAACAAGGTGGTGTTGAGTAATGAATCTAAGATAAAGATTGGAATTAACAGGGTCTTTCTGATGACTGATCTTCTTGGATTCTGGGTCAAGGTGGTGTTGAGTTATGAATCTAAGATAAAGATTGGAATTAACAGGGTCTTTCCGATGACTGATCTTCTTGGATTCTGGGACAAGGTGGTGTTGAGTTATGAATCTAAGATAAAGATTGGAATTAACAAGGTCTTTCCGATGACTGATCTTCTTGGATTCTGGGACAAGGTGGTGTTGAGTTATGAATCTAAGATAAAGATTGGAATTAACAGGGTCTTTCTGATGACTGATCTTCTTGGATTCTGGGACAAGGTGGTGTTGAGTAATGAATCTAAGATAAAGATTGGAATTAACAGGGTCTTAGTGATGACTGATCTTCTTGGATTCTGGGACAAGGTGGTGTTGAGTTATGAATCTAAGATAAAGATTGGAATTAACAAGGTCTTTCTGATGACTGATCTTCTTGGATTCTGGGACAAGGTGGTGTTGAGTTATGAATCTAAGATAAAGATTGGAATTAACAGGGTCTTTCTGATGACTGATCTTCTTGGATTTTGGGACAGTGTGGTGTTGAGTAATGAATCTAAGATAAAGATTGGAATTAACAGGGTCTTAGTGATGACTGATCTTCTTGGATTCTGGGACAAGGTGGTGTTGAGTTATGAATCTAAGATAAAGATTGGAATTAACAAGGTCTTTCCGATGACTGATCTTCTTGGATTCTGGGACAAGGTGGTGTTGAGTTATGAATCTAAGATAAAGATTTGAATTAACAGGGTTTTAGTGATGACTGATCTTCTTGGATTCTGCAACAAGGTGGTGTTGAGTTATGAATCTAAGATAAAGATTTGAATTAACAGGGTTTTAGTGATGACTGATCTTCTTGGATTCTGGAACAAGGTGGTGTTGAGTTATTATCTAAGATAAAGGTTGGAATTAACAAGGTCTTAGTGATGACTGATCTTCTTGGATTCTAGGACAAGGTGGTGTTGAGTTATGAATCTAAGATAAAGATTGGAATTAACAAGGTCTTTCCGATGACTGATCTTCTTGGATTCTGGGACAAGGTGGTGTTGAGTAATGAATCTAAGATAAAGATTGGAATTAACAGGGTCTTTCTGATGACTGATCTTCTTGGATTCTGGGACAAGGTGGTGTTGAGTTATGAATCTAAGATAAAGATTGGAATTAAAAGGGTCTTTCCGATGACTGATCTTCTTGGATTCTGGGACAAGGTGGTGTTGAGTTATGAATCTAAGATAAAGATTGGAATTAACAAGGTCTTTCCGATGACTGATCTTCTTGGATTCTGGGACAAGGTGGTGTTGAGTAATGAATCTAAGATAAAGATTGGAATTAACAGGGTCTTTCTGATGACTGATCTTCTTGGATTCTGGGACAAGGTGGTGTTGAGTAATGAATCTAAGATAAAGATTGGAATTAACAGGGTCTTTCTGATGACTGATCTTCTTGGATTCTGGGACAAGGTGGTGTTGAGTTATGAATCTAAGATAAAGATTGGAATTAACAGGGTCTTTCTGATGACTGATCTTCTTGGATTCTGGGTCAAGGTGGTGTTGAGTTATGAATCTAAGATAAAGATTGGAATTAACAGGGTCTTTCTGATGACTGATCTTCCGCGATAAGTTGTAACTGTCAGAATTCAAAGTGTGTCAGTGGAATTGGGGTAGCAGCCTAGTGGTGAAAGCGTTCACTCGTCACGCCGAAAATCCGGGTTCGATTCCCGACATGGGTACAACGTGTACAACGTGTGAAGCCCAACGTGTATTGCTTGAATATTGTGAAGCCCATATATGGTGTCCCCGTCGTGATATTTTGAACTTTGTTCAATAGATGTAGGACCAAATAACCTTTATGTGGTGATCACAAACTGAATGATTCTAGTTACAATGTTCGCAAAGAAATCTATAATTGTTCCGCGATGATGGCGTGAATCATTGCTATAGTGTGCAAAGAAATCTATAATTGTTCCGCGATGATGGCGTGAATCATTGATATAGTGTGGCAGAAAACTTGTTCAGAGAGAGGAACAGCCAGGTGTGCCAGAACACAGGCTCAGCACAGGTAAATGGATCAATAGCACACTGGCTGTTCCTCTCTCTGCACTCCCCCCTCGTAACAAATAGTGAATTGTGTCAATATTTTAATGATAGTTTGTTAAACAACTTTTTTATTATCAAATCATAATTCAAGAAATTAAAAATTCACAATGGTAGAAGAATTATAATGCATTATGCCAAATTAGAAAACGATTGTACTTGTAGTGACCAAACACCGTCACGAAAAGTTTTCTGCCAGACTATAGTTACAACGCCTGTGTATAGCTATGCTCAATGATTTTTCCAAACTTGTGAAATTATTTTAAGAAATTTTTTTTTTTCTCAAATGTACGGAAGAGATACTAACTCCTACGTAGGAGATACTAAGTCCTACGTAGGAGATGCTAAGTCCTACGTAGGAGATACTAAGTCCTACGTAGGCGATATTAAGTCCTACGTAGGAGATACTAAGTCCTACGTAGGAGATATTAAGTCCTACGTAGGAGATACTAACTCCTACGTAGGAGATACTAAGTCCTACGTAGGAGATACTAAGTCCTACGTAGGAGATGCTAAGTCCTACGTAGGAGATACTATGTCCTGCGTAGGAGATACTAAGTCCTACGTAGGAGATATTAAGTCTTACGTAGGAGATACTAAGTCCTACGTAGGAGATATTAAGTCCTACGTAGGAGATACTAACTCCTACGTAGGAGATACTAAGTCCTACGTAGGAGATACTAAGTCCTACGTAGGAGATACTAAGTCCTACGTAGGAGATACTAAGTCCTACGTAGGAGATACTAAGTCCTACGTAGGAGATATTAAGTCCTACGTAGGAGATAACTCCTACGTAGGAGATACTAAGTCCTACGTAGGAGATGCTAAGTCCTACGTAGGAGATACTATGTCCTGCGTAGGAGATACTATGTCCTGCCTAGGAGATACTAAGTCCTACGTAGGAGATATTAAGTCTTACGTAGGAGATACTAAGTCCTACGTAGGAGATATTAAGTCCTACGTAGGAGATACTAAGTCCTACGTAGGAGATATTAAGTACTACGTAGGAGATAGTAAGACCAAAAAAAATTTTCAGCGTGGCCCTACTACGCTTCCGTACAAATGAACCTTAAGAAAGAAAACCATATTTTTTATTGATTTTTATTGTCCATATATCTCATGTGAAAAATCCTACAAAAATGGCACCGTCAGGACCCCAAGAAACAAACAAAACAGAAAAAGTGACAACCGTACATAAAATATTCACTTTTGGTGGAAAAAATGAAATCTTTAAGTCTCAAATGTG